TCTCTCTCTCTCTCTCTCTTTTTAACCCCCTGCTTTTGACATCATGCACAAATGGTCTCCAGTATATTGGAACCTCCTAGGAATTGCACATGAACTATATAGAGCATTCTCTGAACCTACACATGGCACGAATGTTATAGGCCACATTCTCATGTATGTGTGATTGTGTATTTTCTTGTAACTGGCTGTATTTTCCATCTGAAGCCTGACTTTGAGCAGTTGTAGAAAAGGGTTTCTTCATTAGGACAGGGTAACCTTAATCAGGTCCGGACTTCCCTGGTACATTCCAGGTTTCCTCATGCCCCTTGTCTAGGAGTTGCATCTGCAGTTGAGGAGCAGCACTACTTTACATCAAGGTTTTAGGTGAGTCCATGGTTATTACCTGTCCTGCAATGCCTCTGCTGGACCCTCCCCCCACTAATCATTAGCACCAGTCCTTGCCTGCATCTGATGAAGCACCAACCTTCTCACTTCTCTCTGGCTCTCACTCTGTATCCTTTACATCCATAAAGAAGACCTTCTGCCCCAGGTACACCCACTGCATTTGTGGTCAAGGATTTGAGTTGCTTCTTGAACCACATCTCTCTGGGACTGTGGGTTACAGCAGGCCCTCATCTCAAATCCTCTAGCTCAGAACATGGGGCCACACCAAGAACACAAGCCTTCTTCTGGTATTCCCCTGGCCACTGGGCTACTCTGCCATCTCTGCACTTCCTTTATGCCACATCCTTGTTCTGGATCTGGCAGCTGAGCATTCCAGGAGAAATCAGAATCAGACCTTATACTCATACACATTTAAATTCAAAGGAGATCCTTTGAGCAGGCCCTGCTTTATGAGGAGAAATATCCAGTTATCACCTTCCTCCACAAAGGAAGTAGAGGTGTGGGAGCAAGACATTCTTCAGGAATTCTCTACTCTAAAGCTGACCTCACTTCTGGTAGTTCACTTTATATCAATGACTTTGATCTTCCCTTACTGATCCATGTGGGTCTTCATGTCATCTTTCACTTTTCCTTCCATGCAAGTCTCCACTGAGCTTGGCAACCCATCTTCTCAGTCTTTGTGATCTGGATAGAGGGAGATCAAGAGGAATAGCATGCAGAATTGCTGGTTTGCTGTGTAGAATATAGGGTATAAAAATAGCCTGACAGTGTGGCAGAGGTATCTGACCTTCTCTAACTTCACAAGAAGGGAGAATCACCATCAACAACATCAGCCCAAAGCTGATTCCTATAAGGTAGAAGTCAGACACGCCTCCTCTCTCCAACCTTTTCACCAATTCTGACACCAACCATCCCTCTTACTATATTTTCTTTCTCTGCTTTGTTTGATACTTCATTGCAAAGACCACACAGAACTATAGACAATAGTCAGGATCACAAGGTTTATTAGGGAAGTAACAAGTTGCAATTTAGGATCAGGAAAGACTCAGCATATATTTCTTTGATCAAGACAGCTTCTTCTCAGCTGTGGCTGCAAGCAGGTCTGTCTCTGGCTGTTGGCCCTTGGCTCTTGGACATGCCTGGCCTCTGCCCTCCCTGGGCAAGTATTAAAAAGATCTTTAGCTCCACCAACAAGTTCCCAGAGGCATCTCATTCTGCCAGCACGCCTCCTGCCCAAAGTTGCTCAGCATTCAGCTCTCTTGCTCCACTTTGTCGGTCAGAGTGCCTAGTTCTGTCAAGTGCCTGAAAGCACCCCGCTCTGCTCTGGCAAGCCTCCTGCCTGAAGGTGCTCAGCTTTCTTATTCTGTGGGCTGGGAAGCCTGCTGTTCTGTCTGGTGCCAGTCTCCTGGTTCTGCTGCCTCTGCTGTCGCCATTTCTCTGCTGCTGCATGTCACCATCTTTTGCTGTTTCCAGTGTTAATAGTTGTCTATCTCCCGTGTCTAAAAGATTCCCAGTGCAGGGACCCTGTGTCCAATGGATGTGCTCTGCTCCTATCTCTTCTTGGTGGTAGTCAGGTCTTCCCTCTCTGCTTGATTCTTTCTATTTTATCTCTCTGGAGCTCTGGTGGTATAGTGGTTAAAGCATTCAGCTGCTAACCAAAAGGTTGGTAGTTCAGATCCAACAGCTGCAATATGAGAGAAAGATGAGTGAAAGAAATATGAATAAAAGATTCTCACCTTGGACACCCTATGGGGCAATTCTACTCTGTCCTAAAAGATCACTATGAGTCAGAATCAACTCAATGGCATTGATTCTTTTTTTTTTTTTTTAGGGGAGGGGTTAAGATGAAAGGTGTGACTCAAGCAGTAGTGTGATTTCAGTAAGGTGGTGAAGGGTGGTAACTTGAATAAGGATACTATGAGTGATGCCTGGGGTAAGGGTGGTGACATGAGTCACACCCTCTAGTACAGTGATGACTCAAGCTACATCTCACCTTTATCCTGCTTTATTAACCGAATGGACAACTCACTCCCAAATGGGAGCATAGCCACAGGCATGCTAAAACCAAACTTACTGCCATTGAGTTGATTCTGCCTCATAGAGACCCCCATTGGGTTTCCAAGGTTGTAAATCTTTACAGAAACAGACTTCCTCATCTTTTTTCTGTGGAGTGGCTGGTGCATTCAAACCACCAACATTTTGGTTAGCAGCCAAATGCCTTAAACCACTATACCACCACAGTTCCTACCATAGGCATGTTGTTGTTGTTGTTATGTGCCGTCGAGTCGGCCCCGACTCATAGCGACCCCTCCTTGGGTTTCCGAGGCAGTATCACTACGGAAGTAGGATTGCCCAACCTTCCTTCCGAGGAGTGGCTGGTGAGTTTGAACCGCCAGCCTTCTGGTTAGCAGTCAAGTGCTTTAGCCACTATGCTACCAGAGCTCCCACCATAGGCATAGAGGGTAGAATTTACAACACATCACAAAATAAAGGATAATTTTATCAGATCACAAGATGGAGGACAATGTCACAATACTTGGAGTCATGATCTAGCCAAGTTGACAGATAACTCCAACCATCATAGATCCCATATATCTTATTTTTATGGTCCTACGCAATTACTGCGTGGGAGTGACAAAGACTATGGCTAGAAAGGCCATGTTAAGTAATTCACTGCACTGCACAGAGAACTTATTTCTCCCGCTAACATTTCTCCTGACTTGTCAGTGATGCTCTGCTCTTGGCTGTCCCACCTTCGTTCTTCATCTCCTCCAAGCCCTTCACTTCTCACTCTCTACCTGTTCCCTCTACAGACATCCAGGAGCCCTCTTAGGCAGTAAAGAGTAGATCTTTACTCAGATGAGGGCCTGTGCATTGAAAGAACAAGCCATGAAGGAGAAGGTTGGCCATATACCCCAGGTCTTGAAGGAAGCCTGTGTAGCTCTGGCTGTACCCATGCCTGGGGTGGACATGGGTCTGGCCTATGGCTTCTGTACCTGCCTGGGAGGTCAGGTCATAATGGACCCTATCTTCTGGCTTGTCATGGGGACCCCTTACATCTTCTACCCCTGCACAAGTCTCTCAGCACAGGCTTGCCTAGTCCTTTGGACATTGACATGGGTGCCTTTTGGCCCTTATCACTGGGTAGGGCATCTACCTCCAGCTACCTCAATCCCTTCAGTTTTGCTGAGGGGTATCTCCAGCTTTGATCCCTATGTGGGAAGCCCATAACCCATTGTTCTGGTTACCTAGTGCCGCTCTGACAAGAAATATACCACAAATGGGATGGCCTTCACAAACAGGAGTTTATTTTCCTACAGTTTGGGAGGAGAGAAGTCTGAGTTCAAAGTGCCAGGCTCTAGAGGCTGAGTGAAAGCCCCTCAACCTTGGGCTTCAGGTCTTCCTCCTGCTCCTGGTCCACTAAATTTAGAGGCTTTTCTTCACTCAGGCAGCTACGGCTGCTGAGGCTAACAAGCCCAAGGTCGACAAATAAAATGACACAGTCCCAATGTTACTAAACCACATGGCAGGCCATTAATTCAAGTCCACTGAAAGTCCCAAGGTCGACAGAGCATGCAGGCTGCTGAACAACAACATAGCTACATGCAGGGTTCAAGCATGCCATAAGCTAGAGACCATTCCCAAAGCTGCTGCTTATATACAGGAAGCAGACCACATACCCAAAGGCAGCTATTCAGCTGCTCACAGTAGATTCCACCATGGAGTTGATTACCAGTCCTATCATGGGGAATACTACAGCCAGCTGCCCGGCCACTCAACCAGGCCTAGCCAAATTGACACACAAATTTAACCACCACACCCACCTTCTGGCTTGCAGCATATTTCCATACCTCATGGGCCTGCCACCCTCACATTCCTCAGTCCTTTCCATTCTGAGTCTCAGTACCCAGGTGTGGTGACAGACTCCAGCCAGCTCAGCCTTGGGGACTGTGATGAGAAGCCTGTCCAGAGCAGTGTCTTGCTTGAAGACATGCAGACCCCCTCTCTCATAATTGGCCTCTCACTTTAGCACCTGGGCTTCCAGGCTATGTTCTAGCACAGAGCTCTGCATTCTGCCCCCTTTCCACAGCACAGACACTCGGCCATCTCCACATTTGGCCTGTTCTCCCTGGCCCTCCTGAAGAGCCCTCTGTACATCTTTGAACTCTGACCAATCCCTCAGATAGCCCACCCAATCACTTAGAGAGTTGTGAAATACAGGGAGCCCTCACTGTGGGTTGTGCCTAGTGTTTTTTTTTTTTTTTAAACTCTTAATTATTTTATTGTACCCTGAGCTAGTAATGCTAACTCCTTAGCTCATAACACACTTCCATGCAGGGGTCTGGTCTCCTTAACTCTTCATCCTCAATCACAACTCTGTTGTAACTGATGGATAGAATGCTCACATTGATGTAAAATATATAATGGTGATGGATGTGTGTTTCAAAATTTACATAAACAGTATGTGCTATAATTCATGCTTTTTCTTATTTTTCATTAACTGGATTTTTTAAGGAGCTCTGATGGCTTAGTGGGTAAGACATTGGGCTGCTAACCAAAAGGTTGGAGGTTCGAACCCACCAGGGATTTGTTAGACTGGGTTCTCTAGAGAAGCAAAACCAGTAAAGCTTATATATATAGACAGAGAGAGAGAAAGAGAAATTTATCTTAGAAAAATGGTTCACACACTTATAGAAGCCGGCAAGTCCCAAGTTCTTGGATCAAACGTCAAGCTGGAGGCTTTTCCCGACTCATGCAGCTGCAGGGGCTGACGAACTCAAGGTTGGCAGGCAGTATACTGGCTGTTCACTCCAACGAATGACAAATCCAAGATGTCCAGGCCGAATGGTGGATTTTTCACTCACAGACAGTTGTAGGCAGCACAACAGAATCCCAACCCACAGAAGAATGTCTCTTTTCCCAGGAGGTCCATAAATATATTGGAAGCAGGCCACACCCCTAGGGAAACTCCTTTTCAATGAATTGGCTCCTCAAAACATATACATCTGATCCCATCATTGGAACAACCCATATCACAATTACTTAAACCACACAGAATTGTGGTCCAGCAAAGTTGCTACACAGCTCCAACTATCACAAGGGGTATGCAGGAGAAAGATGAAGCAGTCGGCTTTCATAAAGATTTACATTATTTGAAACTATGGGGCAGTTCTGCTTTGTCTCTATGAGTCTCTAGGATCTCTAAGAGTCTTAATTGACTTGACGGCAGTTAGTTTAGTGTATTTTTAAGATCTAGCCTTATCCATACATGTGTATAGTACATTTACATTTTCAAACTTATTAGCATAAAAGATTTTTATTATTTATTCACTATTATTATTATTGTCTGCTGTATTTGTAGTTATAGTACTCTTGTATTTCCTAACATTATATATGCAGGTATGTGTCACTTAACATCCATGATACGTTCTGTGAAACAGGAAATTATGTGATTTGGACATTGTGAAAATACAGTATTAAACTTTGTGGGAGACTGCTTCTGGCCCATCTTTGTCACTGCTGCTGCCACTGCTGCTGGTGGAGGCTGGAGAAATGTGTAGGGGCAACAACGATGGCAAAGGGGACAGCAGTGGGAATGGAGCAAGAGGAAGTGAGTGAGGAGAAAACAAAGAGTGCCCCACCTTGCTTACCTAAATATCAGGAGCAGCCTGGATCCCCCACCCACCGCCCCAGACCCTGCTGTCACTGCCTACCTACCCACCAGACAAAGCCCAAAAGCCTGTGCCCAGAGCTATGTCCTCTGCCTCACAAACCTGTATCCAACCGATGGTCCAGTGCTGCAAGGTCTTTAAAACCGTTAGGGGGAATGTGAGGGAAGGACACAGAGAAGAGGTAACTAAGGGGAGGAAGTAGGAAGAGAGCTGTTACATTGTGGGGAATTGCAGTCAGTGTCATGAGACAAAATGTGCATGAACTGCTGCATGGAAAATGAATTTGCTCTGTAAACTTTCACCCAAATCACAATAAAAATTAAAAGATAAAACAAAACCCTTATGAGACCACAGATATATGTGTGGTCTGATGTTGCCCAAATAGATGTTAAGTGACTCACACATGTATTTAAGGCAGGAAGAAAGAAAGGAGGAAAAGAAAATCATACCATGAATTTGTCTATTTTATTAGAACCTACTTTTGGCTCACTCTCTCTGTGTCTTTTGAAGAGTGTCTCCTCTTACCTCCATTGTTCCCTGTGATTTTATTGTTTGTTTTCTAACTTCTTAAAGATGACACTTGGTCAATTCATATTTAATGTTTATTCTTTTTGAATGTAAATCTTTAATGCTACAAATTTCCCTCTAAATATACTATTTTAAGTGAATTCTGTGGTTATAATGCACCATATTTTTGTTTTTGTATCTTTTTAAAGAATCACAATTAAAGGGTGTCTTAGGCTTGACTCTTGAGAAAGGCAAAGCTAGTAAAGCTTATATACAGAGAGAGAAACAGAAATTTATTGCAAGGTAATGGCTCACACAGTTGTAGAGGCTGGTATGTCCCAAGTTCATGCATCAAACGTCAAGTTGGAAGCTTTTCCGGACTCATGCAACTGCAGGGGCTGACAAACCCAAGATCAGCAGGCAGTATATCAGGCTGCTGATTTGGGGGGTGGCAAATCCAAGATCACCACATAAAATGGCAGATTGTTGGCTCACCAGCTACAAAGGCAACAATTCCAAGATTGGCAGGCAATACAACAGGCCACTGGTTCCACTCCAAAAACCAGATGATGATAAACTAGATGCAGGATCCAGATCCAACAGAAAGTCTGAGAATTTTCCCAGGATGTCCATATATACATATATTGGAAGCAGGCCACACTCCTGAGGAAACTCCCTTTCAACTGCTTGTCTGCTCATAGCATATGCCACCATGGAGGTGACTGCCTTACATCAGATCTCATCATGAGAATGACCACACCACAGCTGCTTAAACCACTCAGAATCACAGTCCAGCCAAGCTGACACACAATCTTTACTACCGCAAGGGATAAATCAAATAAATTTTACATTCGTCTTTTTACAGCCAAGGACAAACTAGAATCATCTTTATAATTTTAAATGTCTCATATAGATTTCTCAATATAACAATCTTGTGATTATGATCTACTAACTAAAATTAAAATAATGTTGACACAATATGTTGTTGTTGTTGTTAGGTGCCATTGAGTCAACTTTGACTCATAGCAACCCTATGTACAGCAGAATGAAACACTGTTCAGGCCCGTGCCATCCTTACAATCATTGCTATGTTTGAGACCATTGTTGCAGCCCCTGTGTCAGTTCATCTTATTGAAGGTTGTCTTTTTTGCTAACCTCTACTTAACCAAGCATGATGTCCTTGCATTGCCCCTTCTGATAACATGTCCCTCCTGATAACATACAGCATTCTGACTGTATTTTTACCAAGACAGATTTGTTCATCCTTCTTGTAGTCCATGATATGCTGAATATTTGTCACTAATACCATATTTCAAAGACATCAGTTCTTCTTTGGTGTTTCTTATTCATTGTCCAGCTTTCACATATATATGAGGCAATTGAAAATACCATGACTTGGTTCAATCACAGCTTAATCCTCAAAATGACATATTTTCTTTTTAATACTTGAAAGATGTCTTTTACAGCAGATTTTCCCAATGCAATATGACTTTTGATTTCTTGTCTCGTGCTTCATTGGGCCTGGAATGAGGGATATGGATTTTGGTTGAAAGCATAGAATACCAGAAAGTTGTTTGTTGTTGTTGTTGTTAGGTGCTGTTGAGTCATCTCTGACTCATAGCGACCCTATGTACAACAGAATGAAACACTGCCCAGTCCTGTGCCAGCCTCTCAATTCTTGCTATATCTGAGCTCATTGTTGCAGCATTGTGTCAATCCATCTTGTTGAGGGCCTTTCCCACCCTCCCTTTTTTAAATTAATTTTTCTTTGATTTCATCTTAGGTTTTTATTTTGAAATAATTTCAAACTTACTGATGAGTTTCATGTTCAAAGAATAGTACAGAGAACTCAGATATATCTTTTAACTAGATTTTACAATTATTAACATCTTGTTTATACATTTTATTATTGTTGCTGTTATTATTTTTTTCTAATCCTTATGAGAATAACTCACAGACATTATGCCTCTTCCCCCTGTACCCCGTGGAAGATTTTTTGTTTTTGTTTTTGTTTTTTTTTAATTGTGTTTTGGGTGCAAATTTACAGAGAAA